GGAAAGAAAATACAGGAGTGTTTTCTTTGTTCCCAGCAGTCCTAAATATAAAAACAACAACAACAATAATAATTGCAAAAGGCAGTTTACTTGGAACAGCTTACATATTGTGACAGTACCTTTAACACCATCAAACAACATCTGCCTCCCAGGTCCTTGGGAAGGACTCGATAGGTAGATAAAAATGCCAAATCCAGTCTAAACAGCTGGCTGGCTCTGCAACCACCGCCACCACCACCACCAATAATAATAATTTAGTAGTGAATACATTGTGAGAGTGAAGAAGATGTTAAAGTCCAAACTCAGTGGAAGAAATATCAAGGCAATTAACACCTGGCAATTCCAGTCATTAGATATACAGCTGCAATAGTGGACTGGACTCAAGCAGAACTAGAAGCCCTGGATAGGAAGACCAGAAAATAAATGACAGTGAATCATGCTCTTCATCCATGCAGTGATGTTGAGAGGCTATACTTACCAAGGAGCATAGGTGGTCATGGAATGTTGTAAGTACACCAGACAGTTGAAGAAAAAAAGGCATTGGAAGAATATCTAAAGGACAGTAAAGAAGATGCACTGAAGCTAGTACACCATGAAAGCTTACTGAACACCAAAGAGACCAAACTGGCCTATAAGAAAGACCAAATGAAGAATAGAAAAGAGAAATGGCAAGGCAAAGTATTACGTGGGCAGTACACAAAAAAACTAGCAGGCAAAGCAGATGATAACAAGTCCTGGCAATGGCTAAGAGCAGGAAAGTTGAAGAAAGAAACACAGGGGCTCATTCTGGCTTCACAAGACCAAGCCTGAAGAACAAATGCATACAAAGCCAGAATTGAGAAGACAGCAAATGCCACTTCTGAAGCTGAAGAAACAGTGGAGCAACCACCTAGTTAGAACACCATTGGCATCAGTCAGTTGCAAAAGGCAGCTTTACTGGGAAGACCTTACATCCTGAGATGATACCTTTAATACCATCAAGCAATAACATCTGCCTTTCCTAGGTCCTTGGGAAGGACTTGATAGGTGGATAAAAATGCCAAACCCAGTCTTAAACATCTGGCTAATAATAATGGTTGTTGGGCTTGTGTGCTCCGAGGAGGATGAGAGCCATGCCAGAGCTTCCACCATACTGGACAGGTCTCATCAGAGGAGCCAGATAAAGAGTGTTTCTCCCATAAACAATATGGTGAGATGCAATTTACAGAAACCCACACTGGATCAGTCGTTGCCCGGGTCAACAAGGACTACACTAGGTGTTCCAGTTCCTGGACATCTGATTACAAGTGGGCTACAGGACTCAAAACTGTTGGCTGAGCAACCAGGGCCACCAGCTGCAGAATTACTGGAAAAAAAGTTGTTTACCTGTTGCAAATATACAAAGACTGAAAACAGAGAAATAATGATTTGCTATTACAAATCAAGTCCAACAAGAAGAGGTTGAAAAGAATCCACCAGTTCTGGAAAGAAAAACATCCAGAATCAGAAATAACAGAACAGAGGCTAGCAGATCAACATCAATTTATGACACAAAATAAAGTATTCACAGAAGTAGAATTGGAAGAACTGCAAAGGTCTACCCTGGGCAAAGAAATTGGAGCTTTGCCAGAAGTATCTCAGACAGTAGAGCCTTCTCCTCAGAAAGAACAAAGCCCTGTAACTAAAAATCAAGAGGAATTGAAATAAAGAATAACTCAACATCTAGAATGGCACAAAAACAACAGAATAAGGTTGCCTGCATTGAAGCTTGTTAAAAGAAAAAGCTAGCACAAGTATTAAAAGATGCCAATACTGTAATATCAAATATAAACACCAGCTCACTGCAAGAAACAAACCAACTGATGTATAGCA